CCGCAAAAATCAAAACTAATTGGACAAAATGGCGGGCACCCACATTGCATGGCGGATGCCCGTAATGCTTCAGGGCTGAAATCTACTTCTTAAAATGATTTTGGCTAGGCTTGATGATGCTAACTTCCTTCTTAGCACGATGTAGAGAATGCCATGAGTTCAATGGTTCACTGGCTTGGCAAAGAAAATGAAAGTCCCCAGCAATGGCATACTTTAATAAAAAACTCAACAAAACTTCACTTTTAACTCTTTTTGGGGAACCAATCTGAAAGTAAACAAAAAACATGCAAATTAAACAAATATATACAATAGGATCAACTAATAGACTTAACTAATGCAAATAAGGGCTCTTGAATATGCAATATTTGGCGCTTATGAGTTGGTTTTACCACTTTAGTGAAAAATAGAGATAATGTTTAAATTGGTAGTAATGTGGTATTTATTTTTAATACACGTAATTGGATTAATAAATAATTTTATTTAATTATTAAATTGTAAATCATTTTTTGGATAAGGTTATATATATTTAATTAAATTCATATTATTAATTATGATTTAATTATAGGAACAGATGTTATTGTGATCAATAAAAATGGTCTATAGCTGTGGTATTTAATCTATCTCTGATTTATATTTTGTGGATGAGATTAATGTTTTTATGGGATGTGATCATGGAGGTAGCTAATAAGCTAGGCACCTTGATAATTTATTAATATGGTTGGATTGTATGGATATAAAAACCTTTGTTTGGTTATATTATAGATTAATGCACTATTATGGGATTGGGGCATATTAGGGACGAATTAACTAAAAATGTTAAGTTCTACCTATTTATATTTATACGGCAACGGATTAACCATAGAGTTAAGTCTTACTTATTCGTGTCAGGTCAACAGAATAGTTGGATGGCATGCCATTGAAATAATATGGTTGGATAGTTTACTTTTTGTGCTTTTGGATAGGATAGATTATATATGTATGGATTTTTTTCACTATATGACCTTAAGTCTCAAGATCGGTGGTTAGGGAGCGTAGATTGCTCGGGATGTATAGTGGATAGTTGTGTACCCTGATAGGTCTACGTACTCATGCCCACTATATATGCGTTTTGCATGTTACCTACTATTCAGGTTAAGGCAACCCTACAATCCAGTGAGGTTCCTTTAGTGTGTATCTATATTTATATGGACTATTTAGCTATTGCATGAGTTGACTAAGATGTATTCGTTCCTTATGTCTTTATTAGATGTAGTAGAAAGAACTTGTATGTGGGTGTGACCAACTATTTATTTTTATAGGTTTATGTAGATTTTGATCGTGCAGAGCAGAGACCAGTAATCATCATTCTTCCAGATCTTCTACATAGGATATTACTTTATGTTTTAGTATTTAGATGTAAATAGTTGTTACCGTTGATCATCACTTTGGAATTTTCTAGGGGTCCACACAGTATGGATTCCCAAGTTGCATTTTGGAGGATTGGATGTATTAGAAAATTTATTATTTAATGAAAATATATTATGAGGATTTTAAATATTGGATTATCACTTTAGTTTTCTTTTCAGCATTATATCTATTCTTATTTATCCTTTTGCATTCTGTGTTCGTTTATTGCCGATTTGTTTTGATATCTTCGGGTATTCGGGCGTAGGCATAGCCAACCTGCATTCGGAAATCCAGGAGTATCACAAATAACAAAATTCTCCAAACCATTTTTCAAAAAACAATTTGAGAAATTTTTATCATCTTGAACTTCAATCTCATACTTCATTGGAACAATTTTCTTCAAGAGAAATTCATCATTCTCCACAACATGACACAATTATCATAATATTTGATTTCTTTTTTCAATTGGGATGAATATGAAGAAATCAAAATTTTATCAAATAAGTTATATCTAATTTCTTTGAAATTAGAATTTGGAACCATACATTTATAAAGAAAAGTGAGAGATTGAGAGAGAAAGAGAGAGAGATATGCTAGACGATTTTACCCTTTTTCTCTCTACATTCAGACGACTTAGGGTTAGGGTTTTTTGCATGCGGGTTGTGATTGGTAGGGGTGGCTTTCGATGGAGGAGGCTTCTACCACCTCCTCTCCACCGGCACACCCGCCATCTCCTCTACCAGTAACTCCTTGTCTCTCATGGAGAAGCTGTTTTGAAGAGTGTGAATCTAACTCCTTCATTAATTTACTTTATATTACACCCGGTAGTGGTTCAAAGGTTACTATAACTGAAGAGGATGTTGCAGAAGAAATCGTTTTTTGGAAATCTTCAATTATAGGGTATGTGATGGGCAAGCGTCCATATTACCCTCATTTCAAAGTTTTCATTGAGAAGCACTGGTCCAAGGATGTTACGCTGGTGTACCTAAAAAATGGATTTTTCATGGTAAGATTTCAACATGTGATGGATGTTCAGAAAGTATTATCACGCATTCACACTTTTGAAGGCTGAGTCATCATTATTAAAAATGGAGTAAGAATGTTGTTTTTCAGCCAGAAGATTTTGATAGGTTGCCAATATGGGTTCGAGTGCATGATCTCCTTATGCATTACCATAACTCTACCTCAATTTTGAAGGTATGTTCCCTTTTCTTGACACCCATCTATATGGATGATCTGACTTTACATCATGATAAAAGTCAATTTGTGAAGGTTATGGTAGATATTCATGGAGAAGATTGTGCAGTTTTTATTGAATATGAATGGAAGCCTGCTATTTGTTCATCATGCAAACGTGTAGACCATGTTGCCGAGAGATGTCCTAGGAGAGTGTTGGATAAATCAAAGCCTAAGAAACAAATGGTTGATAAGTGGATCGTTAGACAAAAAGGGAAGATGGTGGAGGCAGAGGTTGCATAACAAGTTTCTGTTGATTTACCTGTGAGGCTGATTAAAAATACTCAGGTGGTTACCCATAACTCTTTTTCATTATTAGATCAGGTGACTGTTGAAGAGATTGGTGAAGGAGAGGAACATGTCAAAATCCTAGAGGATGTGACTCAAGGAGAGACAGACAACACTCAACAACAAGATGCTAGTTGTGTGGTTGAGCAGGCCATTAACATTGTGGAGAGTATTGATACAGTTATACCTATTGAGGGGAACTCTCATACAATTGAAGTTGGTGCTACTGTGCCAGCTACAATTACTAACCTGTAGGTGGATTTAATCACTGATGTTGCTAAGGACTTACAGGTGGCTCCTGTAGGTATAGACTTTGTTAGCATTACACATGATCCTCACATTGCTGCAGAAGCTACTGACAGGAAGATGGAATCTATAGATAAACTTGTTACTCCTTCTCACAATGAAGGGGGAATAAGTAAAAAATCTAGATATAGAGCTGTGTCAGTTTCTGATAGAATTACTAGAAGTCATGGAGGGGTTCCTCTGAATCCAACCTCTAAATGGTTGGTTTTTGGAATGTTAGAGGCTTAAACAAGCCTAGAAGACAGAGAGAAGTTACTAACTGGATTTCTAAAGAAGCTTCTCAATTTGTCTGTTTTGTGGAAACTAAAGTTCAGAAATGTGATTTTGCTTCTATTTCTAGAAAAATCAAGAATAGTTGGGACTGGGCTCATAATTATGATGCTCATGCTTATGGTAGGATTTGGGTGGGGTGGAATCCACTTGTGTTTGATGTTCAGGTGCTAGATGTGCAGATTCAATGTATGCTTCTTAAGCTGAGAGTTTTGGAGACGGGGGAGATTTTCTTTTGTTCCCCTGTGTATGCTCTGAATTTGGCCAAATATAGGATTGATTTATGGAATTTTCTGGAGCAATACTCTACTATTACTACTGGCCCTTGGATGGCCTTGGGGGACTGGAATGCTATATGATTTTATAGTGACAAGAAGGGGGGGGGGGGAAAGGTGCCACAAAGACTTCTCAATGAATTTAATGACTATTTATATAAGGCTGGGCTAAGTGAGGTACACCCTTCAAATGGAGAATGGTCATGGTGTAACAGACGGATTTTTACTAGGAGAATTTATGTGAAATTGGATAGGGTTTTCTTGAATGAGAAGTGGATGGATATTTTGCCTGGTACCAAAGTTTTATATACAACTGCTGCTTGTTCTGATCATTATGGTATATCTATACAAATTTCTAAGGATTTTGCTGCAGGACCTAAGCCTTTCAAGATGTTGAAGGTGTGGTGTTTACAAGGATGTGTTCAACTACTTGTGAAAAAAGCCTGGGATAATGAAATCTCTGGTAATCCTATACATGTTCTTTTGCAGAAACTAAGATTAGTTAAGAAAGAAATCAAGGATTGGAATAAATATTGTTATGGTGATATTGGTGATAACTTAATTAAGTCTAAGCAGCATTTGGAACAGATACAGTTGGAGCTTTTGAGTGATCCTTCTAAGCATAATTTCCAAGCTGAACAAGAAGCCAGATTGGTTTATCAAGCTACTATGGTGGATCAAGAGGTATTGGTTGCACAGAAATCCAGAATTCTTTGGTTTAAGGGTACTGATAGGTGCACTTCTTATTTTTACAATAAAATGAAGCAACACAGGAATTTCAATGCTATTACTTTAGTTGAGAATGATAGCGGACAGTCTACAGAAGATATGGGGCAGATTAGAACTTGGTTTGTGGACTTCCACAAAAATCTGTTTGAAAAGAGATAAGCCAGTATACAAGAGTTTGATACACCTGTAAGGAAGCTGAGCTTAGAAGAGGTTACAGGATTGGATGGCGTGGTGAGTGAAGAAGAAATCAAAGGGGTTGCCATGGGTTTTAACCCTGATAAATCCCCTGGTCCAAATGACTTCCTAGCTCGTTTTTATCAAACTTTTTGGTCTATGGTGGGCAAGGACATGGTTGCTGCAGTTTAACACTTCTTCACATCCAATGGTATGCCTATAGGGATCAGTAGTTGTTTCCTCACACTTATTCCTAAGGTGGGAAATGCAAAAAAGTTGAGGGATTTTAGACCTATTGCTCTATGCAATCTCTTATACAAAATAATTACTAAAATTATGGCAAACAGATTGGCAAAGGTTTTAAATTCGTTGGTTGGCCTTGAACAAAGTGCTTTTGTCCAAGGAAGGAAAATTCAAGATGCTCTGATCTTGGCTCATGAAATGGTCAAGGATTTTAAGGGTCCAAGGCATGCATCTATGGCTGTGAAGGTGGACATCAAGAAAGCGTATGACTCTGTTTCCTGGGAATTTTTACTTAGGCTTCTTAAAGGTTATGGATTCAGCAATGTGTGGATTGTGACGACCCTGGTTTTTAGGCCAGCGTGTCCTGTGATGAACTGTAAGGATGACCTTCCATGAGGTCGTGGAACTCAACAAGAACTGATGCGGAAGCAAAAGATCAAAAATATGACAAATAAGCCCCTAGGGGCAAAATAGTCATTTCTAAAAACTATAGATTCGGGTGCCACCGAGCACACCGCTGGAAGGATAACGAAAAACTAATCAAGATGGACTCAAGAATCGCATGATTCGGAGTCCGAACGAAGGAGAAATGGCATGACGAAGAAAAACAAGCACTTAAAGCAAAAAGGGTAAACTGGTAATTATCCAGGAAGAACTGGGTGCAACCGAACACACCGTTGGAAGGACAGCGAAAAATTAGTCAAGTTCAATAAAAAATTCACTTGAATCGGAGTCCGGACGAAGGAGAAAAGCCCAAAAGAAGAATTGACGTCGCGGCGGCCCGACGAGGGGCCATGGCGCACACGGCACCCATGCGCGAGCCCACCGGCGTGCATGCCGGTGCCCAAAGACATGGCTGGTGGCAGCCCTTGGCTGCTGCTACATTTTTTTTTATCTGCCCAGAACTGAGGCTTGAAACGGAGGTCAAGACGAGTTTTTTTAGAAAAATCCAAAGAAGAAACCCCCCCTAAAATCGAGTTTTCTACCCAACATTGCGAACGGAATCGAAAAAAACTCACTATGAAATCCCCAAAATGCCCCTAGATCAGAACTGAACAAGAGGGTCATAAAGCTGCTAAATGAAAACTGGAAGCTGAAACTTCACGAAGGATTTCCGGTACCAAGACGACATTTTCTGGAAAAACACAAAGAAGAAACCCCCCCTAAAATCATGTTTTCCATTCAACCATGTCAAAAGAAGAAAATAAAACTGATGTGAAAGGTCCATAATGCCCCTAGATCAGAATATGCAAAAAAAATGCGAAATGAATTCACAAGAGGCTCAAAACACAAACGATAAGGTTTTGCCCGGAAACGACCATGCACGCAAACGTAACTTACCTATTTAGATGCGCTACAATGGTCCATGGCTTAAAAATATAGCCGATACAAAATCTGACTCCCCAACGGGCAAAAAGGCAAAAATGGACTTGGAATGGAAAACATGGAATCCAAAAATGTAAAATGGAGTCAAATGACCATTTGGCCCTTGGTCACACTTCATACAAGATTAATAAGACCCTATGAAAGAATGAAAATGGAATTTTCACACCCGATGCAACCATGGTGAAGCAATGACTTGCGATTTTTTAAGGTTTTCATAATATTTCATGAAGTTAAAAAGTTGTATAGAATACAATACACATGTCATTGGCCTCCAGTCTCATCTCATACATGTCAAATACATTCAAAGGAGTGCACTTATGTAAACATTACATACATGGAATCAAATATACATATTTTGACATATTAGTCTACAAAATGACATTTCATGTTAACATTTGCCTGAAATGAAAACTTGAAAGCTACACGACATCCAAGGAATGCTAGGCTTCACGAACCAAGTCTTCGTACCTGAAATATGCCCCAGTATCGTAGGGGTGAGTAACATAAAGCTACTCGTAGGAGATAAGCATGCATCGACCTAGCATTTTACAAATTTATCACCTTAAGGTGAAACATGTTAAAGGCGCTCATGCCACCTAACGTCTATGTCCAAATGAGACTTGGGGACCATCCTAAGCTACCTTAGAGTCTAAGCAACAAGAATCATGATATACATACATGTATGAAACGAATCATGGTTGAGATAATCCAAAGAACATGACAAGAAGAATGCTTGAGCATAGATTAACATGAATTGCATTTTCAATACAATTGAACTAGGTCTAGAGTAATCCATACAACATGACAAAAGCATATTTGAATACAAGTTAACAAGAATCACACTATCCATGCAATTCAATAACAAAAGAGCATGTTATACAATGCAACAAGGTTTAAGTTCTCAAAGCCATTAACTTAGAATCTAAAGCACAAAATAATAGTAGTGGTTCATGCCACCTAACGTCTATGTTATAAATGAATCAATATGATCAATCCTAAGCTTTATTAGAACGTTAAAACATGATTTTCAATATCGATGCAATTTAACCAACATTGGAACTTCCAATACAACGCATAAAGCATAATTTCGCAAAGTTAACATCCTGTAACTTAAAATGGAATGACAAATAAGAAACAACAAGTTACAACATCATCTAGTTATCAACTTGAAAATGAAATGCAAAATCAGACAAAGTGGATACTCGGACGTCACGCCGGATCAGACCGACAACATAGTTACTTTAGGGTTACTAGCCCATGGGTAACCTCCCTATGTGCGCACTAAACTATATATAGAGGGTTTATCCCCCGTACTAGAACCATGTCCTAGCTATAGTCAAACAACGACATCCCCAAGTTTCCAAAATCAACAAGTTGTGCAACAACGTATATATCAATAGGAATATGCAAGATAATCAACTATCTACTAAGCACAACCAAATTTGAAAACCTATACAATACAGGCTCTAAGTCCACAACTAATATGATGTGATGAATGTCGAATCTTCAGTGTGTGATTCGTTACACGCTATGCATGAATGATGTTAAATACGAAATGTGCAAATCATTACACAAGGCAACAATATATTCAATAAGGAAAATATATCCTCATGACTATAAACATAGCAACTATGTTATCCAATGCTCAAAACATAACCAAATGAATATACAACAAGTCCATGTCCAGGATTTTGATATAGAAACGACTTTCAAACACAACTAAATCCATGGCTCAATTCGATAGAATTTAATTAAATAAAAATAATTAAATTCCCTAGATTCTAATTCAATTCCAAATAACCTCAAATTAATACATATTAAAGAAATGGCATGGTCATCACCTATATCTATTCTAAAACTCAATTAGGTTATTGGAACAACAAAGTAGAACTCTAATTAAATCATGCTAATTTAATTACCAAGGTTCTAAAGCAACTTCAAATGGTCCACAATTAATATATCAAGTTAAAATCTTAATTAAGCTAATAGGACCACAAAATAGATTTTAATTAATTCTTTTAATTAAAATCTCTTGATTTTCAAACTTAACCAAATGCTCTCAAATTAATCTATATTGGAAAACATGCCAAGGACTAATGTAATATCACATTACAAGTTTATTTCATTCAATTTACGACCATGCGAATTAAACCTTCAGTAAAGTTAAATATAAAACAAAAGTTGCAATTCTCATGCAATAAATCCCAATTTAATACATGTGAATAACCATACCAAAACTTAATTTTCTAGCATGCCACAATACAATTCCAAGTTGTATATCACCATGAGGATTAAATCTTAAACATGAAATTTAATTAAGTAAAAGGTTTCAAAACCTAACCGAATATTATAAATCAAATATATGTGAAGCTATATGGCATTTAAATCAAGAATATCAGGTCGGAATTCAAATAGAGTAAATAGTGCACTCGGGGCAAATTAATTAATCAAATTAATTAATAATTACAAATTTTCAAAACACCTCCAATTACTTTCAAATTCAACTATGTTGAAGAGCATGCTAAGGCCTAAATTAATATGCTAACACATATTAATTTCAAGTTAGTTAAGGCCATGTGAATTAATCTTTCACCTAAGATAAATATTAAATAAAATCTTTAATACTTATTCAAATGTTCCAATTTTAATACACGACAATGAGCATATCAAGGGGTAATATAAAATCATGCTACATGTTTAAACCAAGTCATGAGCAATCGGGAAAATTAGATCCCGTACAAGAAAAATAAATAATAAAATCTCTAGATTTTATATTTAATCATGCAAACAAGTAGTATAAGCATCACAAGCATGCTATATAACAAGAATTTAAACCTAGAACATCTCCTACCTCAATTTGAGATGAAAATCTCAAAGGCCCACCAAAATAAAAGTGCTCCGAATTCGACGATACCGAGAGGTTTTGTCGGGGACAACACCGTGAACATAAACCCCATCAAAGCCCCATCAAAATCATAACTTGACCTCAAAACCAAACTCAAGAAATGGTCAAAACTGAATTTTAATAAGGGGGAAAGGTAGAGCACGGCGAGGGGAACAACAAACGTTAAGGTCGAAGACTTTCCATCAAGGAAAAGTGAACCAAAAGAGGAGAGAGAAGATGGAAGCACCTCTTGGGCTGCCATGGGAGCTCCAGGTCATGCATGAAGAGGGGAGAAGATTAAAAATGAAATATCTCACCCCTCTTTTATAGAAATCTCAAAAAGTGCCCTGAACGGTCCCCGTCGGGTCCGAAAAAGTAAAATTTGAGCAGACGAGCTCAAATGGCAAAACTTTGTGAATGAAAAAGATTCAAAATGATAAAATATGAATAACGGAAGAAACGGCGTCAAAAACTGAGTCCCGAGTAGAAAGTTATGCCCAAAACAAGTTTAGCAAAAACCGGAGCCAGAAACCCTGAAACTGAAAAACATCGACCAGGAGGAAATTCCAAGAGTACACAACTCGATGAAATGTGAAAATGAATCCTGTACGAGGATCCAGGCTCAAAATAAGACATTTTGCAATAACTTTCATTAATTGCACAATGGCCCCTCTAAAAAGTGAAAACTGCACTTATAGCTCAGAATGAAAATATCTTCTAAAAATATTTTCTTAAAAACTCCTAAAATAAAATATCTTCAAAAAATATTTACGAAAAACACCCCAAGAAAAGAAAATATTTTCAAAGAATTTTGCATCCATGCCCCCTATGGACACCGGGAGCAACCAGAGTACTTTCTTGCAAAAGTAAAGATACGTATTTCGTGGAAACCACTCAAGATGAAGGCACGTGAAGTCAAAAATCAACTCCGAGCATGAGAAGTGAGGTTGTGCCAACAATGTGACAAATGGGGAAAAGACATAATAGGGAAAAAGACGAAATAGGGAAAAGGACGAAAGACGCATAGTGTCCGAAAAGTGAAAATGCAGAAATGACTCGGTCCTCAAAGGAAGTTGTCAATCCATGAAAAAGAGTCTCAGGAACCAATTCCGAGCACTTGAGATGACACTAAGCAACACGAAATAGAGCTCAGAAAAGAAAATTAAACGAATAAAAAATTCATTCGTAAAATTTCAGGAAAAAGGAAAGGAAGGCAAATGACCGGGTCGTTACATGGATTAAATGGATTTCTTCCATCCTTGTATCTACTAAATATTCTGTTTTGATCAATGGCTCTTCCCAAGGGTTCTTTCAACCAGATAGGGGACTCAAACAAGGTTGTCATCTATCCCCTCTCTTATTTACCTTAATTACTGAATACCTTACTACTATCATTAATTCTGCTATCCACAGAAAAGAGCTTTGTGTCACTCATGCTACAGCTAAGGTTCATCCTGTGATAAGCCATGTGTTTTTTGCTGATGATTTGTTAATTACTTGCAAAGCCTCAATTTCAAATGCTAGAGTTCTTGCAGCTTTATTCAAGAAATTTGAGAACTTAACAGGTTTACAAGTCAGTGAATATAAGAGTAGTGTCATCTTTTCAAGGGCTATGGGGAGGAAGTTATCAATGCTGAGAATTTTGAAATGCTCTGAAGAACATTTTCCAATTAAGTATTTGGGGCTTCCTTTGTGTCCATCTGGTTTGAAGAAAGCTAATTGTCAGGGACTGATTGATAGGGTTTCTAATAGAATAAAGTGTTGACTACTAAACTACTATCAGTTGTTGGTAGAGTTAAACTCATAAGATCTACTGTCACCCCAATTTTCCTATATTGGTGCAGCATTTATAATGTTCCTCTTTATGTGATTAACCAGTTACAAAAGATGTTTAGGGATTTCCATTGGGGTAGTACTGATAACTTTAAAAAGATGCACCTTTTGAGTTGGGATATGATCACTAGAACTAAAGCTGAAGGTGGACTTGGTTTGAGTAAGTTGATAGATATTCAATCTGCATCCAAGGTAGTATTAGCTTGGGATTTTTAAATAAACAAGGATAGGCTCTAGGTTTCATGGTTTAAAAATAAATATACTTTTTGGACTGCTATTCCTAATATTACTCATTCTATCATTTGGAAATCTATTGTGGAGACAAGAGATTGTATGCTACAACATGTTGATTTTTCTATAGGGGATGGAAGATCAGTTTCTTTACAGGATCCTTGGTGTGATGGCTTGACAATAGCAAACAAATTTGGCCATAGGATTCTTCGATCTTTAAATGTTCCTAGAACTGCTAATTTGGACAGACTAATGGAGAATGGTTGCTGGGATTTGAATCTTTTGCAGGGTCAATGTTTACATTAACTAAGGGAGTATCTGGTGTTGAGGCCTATTCATAATTCTGCAGATAAACTTCTATAGAATAATGGTAAGTTCTCATTTAAGGAAGCTTGGAAAATTTGTAGATTTCAGGCAGAGGAAGTTAACTGGCATAAGTTTTGTTGGGGTAAAGCAAGACCTTGATGGTCTGTCATAGCAATTTTCGTGATGTTAAATAGAATTCTATCTATGGTGAATCTCCAAAGAAGGAAGATTTGTTTGGAGCCTAGATGCTCATTGTGTCAGAATGCTAGTGATTCAACAAATCACTTATTTATTGAATGTAGGTTTTCTCAAGATTTTTAGAGATGGATGGGAGAGACTTTGAAGTGGAATATGCTTCAGTTTGCTAAAGTTGAGTCCTTAGTTGATTTGTTTACTTGGTTTAAGAATGTTTCAACTGTGGGCTTTCATACAACCCTATTTGCTGCTGTACTTTGGGGAATTTGGCATGAGAGAAATGCTAGATTGTATGGTATTGCTACTGCTCCAAAGATTGTGGCAAAGAATTTATTGTTAGAGGTGTTGGATATTCATAATATTCTTCTCTCTGATCTTGTTGATTGAGTTGGTAAGCTATCTGGGATTTACAAGGAAATTTACTTCAGTCTGTATGTTGAATACTGTGACAATGAGCTGCTTATGTCCATTTCGTCAATTTTTCACATTGTTGTGGTCTATGGTGTTACTTACTTTTATTTTGGTTTGGCAATGGATTTTTCCATCTTCTTTGTTTAAGTTTCTTTTTGTTTGGTGAGTTTGGATGCCTGTATCCAACTCTCATTGGTGCTTTTACATTATGAGGGTATGCCCTTTGTGACTTTTGTACATATTTTCTTTTCTTTTATACATCTACAATTATGAAAAAAAAAAAAAAGAATTTGGAACCATACCTAAAATTGTTAACTCACCAATTTCATCAACTTTTGCCTCTTCTTTAGCACTTTCTTTTTCTTTAATTTCACTTTTCAATTCAATCTCCTCCACTTTTTCAATCTATTCTTTAATACCTTTCTTGATCTCTTCCTTCTTCACCATTTCACTTTGGCCTTCAACTTTTGAATCTTCAATTTCTTCAACTTCATTTGTGTTGTACGCCTCTTCATTCTCCACAAATTTGTCCTCTAAACTTTCATAGTCAGCCTTCATAAACTCATCATCCTCAAAGCACTGTACCCAATACTCCTTGGGTAGTAATTCACCTCTATGATTGAAAGCGATGGTCTGATACCACTTTGTTGGCTTTTTCTCTGATACCACTTTGTTAGCTTTGCTCTGATACCACTTTATTAAAAATAGTGGTCAGCTAGATACTCGTAATACTCAATAATATTTTGGAAGAGAATGATATGGCCAGAGGAATACTTAAAAAATTATTTTATTCTACTTCTACTATTATTTGACTAGAGTACATGAATATATAGGCCTCAAGAACACATATCTATGAATTACATATAAATGCCTATAACTCTCATTTTTCTAGGTCACTAACATAATCTTCAATAGGCATAACTCCCACTAACATAGTATTTATTAGGCTCAACTCTCAAGACTCTTGATTTTACATAACCTTAACTCCCACTAAGACAATTTGCTACCCACTAACATATATGCTAAATTCGCACATGTATCATGGATATAAAAATACTTGAAATACTAAATAATTACTAAAATACTAAAATCAAGATTATTTTTCAACAACCAACTATTTGGATAGGCTACATGAATTATTGTTTCCACATTATGCTATAAGCCAAAATTTCAGTTGAATCGTATGTCTGTAAAATTGAGTTAATTTTGTAGAAATTGTGTTCTTGAGTGTTGTGTTTTTCGAAATGATTGACTGATCAATAGCTTAATTGCTTTGTTAAGGTCGTGATTCGTTAAGCTTGTAAGGATATGCAAATCACACATACATGTGCGTCTGAGTGGTTAATATTTTGCCACCATTTAAATTGCGCCCATGTATTTATGCATACATGTACGGGGTGGGTGGGGACTTCTGGGCAGTTTGGATGTCAATTCTCAATCTGAATTTGGACAATTGGATTTATTTATTTTTTAATTGTAGTCAACCTAAATTTGGCCAAGCTTCTCTAAAGTTAACTCAATATTGAAATGAATCTTTAAAGGAGTACGAAAACAGTCAAATATTTAAATTTTGGCCAACTTTTTAATCCAAATTTCACATCCGATTAGTGATCCAAGCTGAGGTACACATACATATGTATGTATATATATTATATACACACACACACATGATACATACATATTATTATTAGGAAAGTTATAAAACCATTGTGCTGGGTTGGATGACTTCTGGTGTGTGTGATTGATGCGGGATTTGGCCGGCTTTAGACTGTTTTGGAGCTTGTCAATTTAAAAACTAAGAGACGTGCATGGCATTTGTTTACAATTGTATATGGATATGTATATGGATATACAGTTCTTATGCAACTGATGTGTGGCACTTGCCATGCACGTGGTAACAGACGAAGTATTATTGAATTGTAGTTATGCTGTGGATTGTGTTGTTCTGGAATGAAGCTTAGTTTTGACAATACACAACACAAATCTGATGGTTTAAGGAAATACATTTTTCATTCACACTTTTTACAGATTTTTTTGGAGGAGTTCCTCAATATCCTCTATGCAAGCCTCTAGCATCAGGTTGTACCAGTCTATATCTTCTGGAGCTTACTGCAGTATATATAAAGAAATGGAATTGATCCTTGAAGACAGTTCCTTGAAGCAGAAAGAAGAAGAGTGGAATCAATTGGTTCTAGAAAAGCGGTTCGAGTTAGTAAATGTAATAAGCGATGATGTCAGTCATTTCCGGTTTTCCTCCTTATTATATTTATTTATGATACATTGGTCTCACTGTTGTGAACATACTGTAGGATAAAAATCATCTCCCGTGTAACAGTGCATTGATATCTGTCCCCACCAGTGAGGATAAGTTGGGATGCACCTCAAGAAACATTTTTGTAAGGTGCATCCCAACTTTCTCCTCACCGGTTGGGATAAATTATACAAGTGAGAATTGTTGCTTTGGATGTGTTTCCTGCTTATCTAGTGTATCTAATTCTCCTTTCAGGTTAAATATGTTTTCACTGGTGTCGAACTAATAGCCATTTATTTTTGAATTAGTGAATAATAATTAAGATTAATTACGTTTTGTTTATTGGGCTTTCCAATTCATTTTTCTCTCTTTAATTTTGCCTTACATGATTATCAGAATTGGATCAGGAGCACTGCTTCTCTTCAACAAGTGTTTGGTGCTTCGAGTTCAGGTGATCGGATTTTCTTGCAGTTCATCTTTTCTTTCTTCATATGCACTTCTGCACACGTAGCTTTAATAGTTTACAGGATGTCATCAGGCATGCTTCGTTTTCTGAGATGTTGGAAGCCAAGAGTCTTAACAAAAGCATTGAAGAAGGTATCAGCTAGCCTCCTATTTTATTAGGAATTCAACTCAGGCTATTTTAAATGATCCACACGGCTGCAAATGAGCTGAAAACTACAATCCAAAATGGAAAATAATAATAATAATAGTAATAATAATAATAACCTAGATAAGTAGTGATGAAAATTGATATGAAAAAGAAAAAAATAAAATAAAATAGAGAAGCGGATCCTATAAGTTGCATGTAAAAGAACAAGTTAATAATAATAATAATAAATAGAATAAAAATAAAAAATAATATTTGTTTATAAATTAAATTATATTTGATAGTTGTTTCAAATTTTGGTTACATTGATTCTACTTTGAGAGGATATGTCATTATTATCTTGATAAAAGATCAAGAAAAATACAATTTTTTAAATAAACAGAACAAAACACAATTACAGGAATAAAATAAAGAAGTGCTTTAGTAACTTAGAGAAGGAGTAGCTATATATAATTTGTCATCTAATGAGTGACAACTAAAAAAAAATAGCATAAATAATAATATTGTTGTTGTTGGCATCCTTGCCTGGCTTTTTTTTTTTTTTTTTTTTTTTTTTTTTTTTTTTTTGATTGGTAATAAAAATATTAAATGTTCATTGTATTTTTTTTTTTTTTGAAAGTTAAGATTCAGATTTTGTAAATAAAAACAGCCAAACAAAGGCTAGCCCAATGCTAATCAATGCGGCCCAAATACAAACATCACTGTCAAACATTACAGCCCATGTAATTGAGAGAAACCTAAGTCCCAATCAAAGAAGCCCAACCAAAAGACAAGAAGACCGTTGGAGGCAAACTCTGCTGCGAGGCTCATGGAGAAGATCTCCTCAAACTCCTACATTGATGTCCGGTGGTTTCGCCAGTGGTCTTGCAGTAAGGGCGAAAGATGGAATCTCCCATTCTTCTGCAACTCTGCTAGGATTCGAAGAGTCAATTGTTTGCATGGAGTTCAATTTCCATCGAACTGGTTCCAGAGCTTGATGTAGAATTGAGTTTGCATGAAGATACTTTTTTTGGAAAATTCTTCTGTTGCGTTCAGTCCAAGTCCAAGAACACTTGCGAAGGATTTTTACTTCCCTGATGTTTCTGCCTTTCAAGAGTTAGGTGTTAATCCACTTTACCCACAACATGTCTTTGGAGCTAACTATATGCCAGAAGTGTTTCATGATGGCTGCCTCATTCCAAGATAGAAGGTTAGGAAGTCCCAAGCCTCCTGCTCTTTTTGGAAGGCAACAAGTTTCCAGTTAACCTTAGCTCCTGACTATTTTAGTGATGGGCCAGACCAAAGAAATGAATTGAAAATGCTGTCCATCTCATTGATAATGCTTACTGGTAGAATAAATTTAGAGCTCCAAAAGGTTTGTGTGGAGAAAAGAACTGCTTTGATCAACTTTAGTTTTCTTTACTTCCCAATACTTGCTGATGGAGATTGACATAAAATTAATTTTAGATATATTTCTTGGGAACATTATTCAATGAAAATGATTCACAAGGAAGGTTTATGTATTTTTATTAATTATGATGAGATATTAGTGTAATTTTTTTTTTTTCCTCTCAGAAATTTATGTAATGGATATCATTTATGTGTATATATAAATGTATATATGAAATAATGGTACATTTCAGCAAATGCTACCATAACAATTAATGAAATTTATATTTTTAAAAGTTAGGCTAAAAAGGTTCAAATTAAATTTTTCATGAGAGGACACAAGTTATATTTATTTCTAGAGTAATGATACTCTGTCCGACCCAAACAACTGAATGATAGTCCCAATCAAACATGGCATGGCCACGTTGGACCAGTGTTACCCACGATAGCGCCTCTCTCTCTTCGATTCTCTCTCCTCCATTCCCCCCTGATCTCTCTCTCATAATCTCATTCAATTCTAGGAAATCTATCTCTATCCATCTATTATCTTCTCTACTTTGATCAACTGAAACCATTCTTTTTCTTTGTAATTCATTTTGTCAAAGGAATTAAGTAAAAATTTTGCAGAAACCTCTTTGTCTAGAAAATCAAATTTGGAATAATCACTTGGATAACTCAAAGTCAGAGCCAGAATTTTTTGATTTTGTGGATTTTGATTGAAACCGATCAAGAAATCCCTTAGAAAAT